TTGCTAATGTGGCGGCACCACGCGTGCATTATGGGTTGGGATAAGAAATTGTTTGACTTCTTCTGGAGGATACTGTGCTGTGTTTGTGTGCGTGTGCGAGGGATCTGTGTTGTTTTGATTCCCCTATTTTTATTTACCTGCTTTGGCATTGCGTAATGGTACTTCCCTTCTCCATTATGTGTGTTCTGAAGTGTTGCTAGGGCACCGGGAGTGGATGCCTGTGGATGCACGCCGTGCATTATGTGCTACATTGGTGGGAGGGGAGACTGAAATAACTGGCGGGATTCAGTAAGGCGCTTTTTGCTCACAGACCCTGCAGCTGCAGCAGCCTGAGCGGCGCTTTGCATATGGACGTGTGGATTGTTTTTCTCTTGCGAGGCCTTTTTACTGCGTGTCATTCTCCGCTCGGGTACCGTGCCCGTGGCAGCAGCTGCGGCATCAAAAGGGCTGTGTGCGGAGAGTCCTTGATTGAGTGCCTGTCCTACTTCTCTGTTCTGTTGATTGATTGTACCGTGTGCCGGCCAAACGGTTGATATGACGTTCTTCTGACGGCGGGGTCCACGTGAGACGATGTTGCGTCGCGTGCTTTGTTGCGGGTGTGTGATTTCCGCAACGGTTTTTGGACGGTTGACTGTTGGGTCGTTGAGGGCGGCGTGGCGACGGGTGCGGATGGACCCGATTGTGTGCCGTGGCTGTTCGTGCGGGGGAGCCGCGGGAAGGAGGAGGGCAGCGGAGCGATGGACTCACGAGGAGTGCGGTAGCGTGCAGCCATGAAGATTGGCGACAGGGAACTCACTGTCGCTGTGAGTTGCCGTGTGTGGTGTTTGTTTCTGTTATTATTGCTTGCGTTGTTGGATGTGGCCGCTGTGGGGGAATACTGTTTTTTGTTTCTTTTTCACGCCGTTTTGGGATCCTTTTCTGCACCGGCATCACTGTGTTCCTGCCGTACTGTTGCGCCCTCTTTCCCTTCCATTTTGGGGCAGCTGCGGGTGGGTTTTACATGCCGTGGAGCTGTGTGCCGTGCTGTCCGGTGTTCCATTGTTGCCTGTTCTTCCTGCGTGCACGCGTCCCCCATGCTCATGACAACAACCCTCATGCAAACGCTGCTCCTCCTTTTCCATGCTGCTGATGTGTGTGTTCTCATCCTCCTCTCTGTGTCCCTCCCTAGACTGTGTGTGCAGCCGTGATGATGATGATGACTGGCCGTGTGCTGCTGGTGTGTGCCCTCTGCATGCTGTGGTGCGGTGCCTGCAGTGGTGGACGAGCTGAAACGACTTCTCCAGTTCCTTCGGGTTCTTCGCCCGACGAGATCACTAAAAACGAGAAAGGGGCCATCGGTGGCGCTGGAGGTGGCGTGAAAAACGGTAAACAGGAAGCACCACAAGCATCACCATCAAAAGCGTCAGGATCACAGGGAGCGGCACCGGACCCGTCACAGACACCACCCGGAGGAGAAGCATCAGGAACGCCAAGTGCAGACGCAGGAACGGACAACAAGGATCAAGAAACTGAAGGTGAAAAGAAAGATGACGAAGACGAAGAGGAGGAAGAAGTGGAAGAAGACGAAGAGTATGAAGACGAAGAGAGAGAGGAAAAGGAAGAGGATGGTACGAAAGGAACGGAGAAGACAATGAAAGGAGCCGATACCGGCACCGCAGAGGGGATCTCAGCAGGCGGTCAAAAGCAGCCAAGTTTATCTTCTGCTGCGGCAACAGCATCGAATATAACAAACCCCAACAGCACCCAAACAACTGGAGACAGTGATCCAGCAGCTGATGCCGCAGGGACAGCAGAAGAAAAACAAAATGAAAATAAAGATGCCAATCCGAAAGAAACACCA